AGAAGGTGAGAACAGCAGAGAGGATCATGGGGGCTCCTCTTCCCTCCATCAAAGACATTTCATCCCAGCGCTGCGTGTCCCGAGCCCGTGACATCATCAATGACACTGCTCTGAACCTTCCACATCAAGGCCTTTTTGCACTATGTGTCTCTCACACTGTTTACATTTTGATCAGCGCTTCACTTCATTGTTCTTTCTCACTACTATCAATTTCTATTAATTCCATTTTTGATATATTGACCTGAGTGCTGAGTTTCTTTTATTCAGGCCTCAGAGCTGCAAGGTGTCTGAGGGAGGTTTGTTTTTCCTATTAGGGAGAGTTTAGGATAAAAATAATCCTTCTCATAACAAGTTAGACTGGAATTATTTCATAACATTATATGTTGTTAACTGTAAGTGTTTTGGGTAACGATTTGTGGAGAACTTCACAGTAGAGCCAATCTCCATCTATCCAGATCTGGGCTCAACATCTTGTTCTCTTTTCTTTGCACAGAAAATAAAGTTCTGACTGATGGAATCACCATCTATCTCCACTATGAACAGGATTGCATAGTTTTACACTGACCACATGTCAACATTTCTTGGAACCGCCACTGTTGTCAAATTTCTTGTTCCATTTCTAATATCTGGTACCTTAAGGCTGGCATCATCATCAGGTCATAATGCAGTTAGAGAATATAGCATGGAGGTGAGGACATCTGTGATAAGGTACAAATAAGAGCTAAAAAAAAGTCACTGCCATCAACGCTTTTGTTTCTAGATGCTGGAGCTTGGCCTGTTTTTCAGTGTAGTCCTGTTTCTCTGACTAACTGGAAGATCTCTCTTTCATCTTCTGAACCTATCTGACTGGATGATCTGGTTGAACTGTGTCTGTAAAGTGATCTGAGATGACATGATGAGAATTGGCACTATATATATAAACTGAATTGAATTAATGATGAAATAACCTCATTAAATAACCACATTTTACAACTGAATGGTATATGACATACCTGAATCATGTATTAGATCAATTCCTTGCCTATTTCATGGTATTTCCATCAGTGTATCTGGTCATGCCTTATATCCACTTTGGGAAGCTTAGAAGTTCTGGGTTGGCAGCAGATGGACGAGGTCCTCCTGAAACCTTGAATATGACGCCACAAACCCAACGACCCATTTTTTATTTAAAACCTTTTATTAAACACCAGAACAACCAGAAGACCGAGTCATACAAGGACTTTGATCGCGGCCGGCGGTCCGTCCAGCCAGACGCATCTTGGCACTAACTTTCCCTGAGTTGCCCTCAGTGTTGGACCAGTTTGGTTGTGAACAGAGGCTCTTTGGGAAATGAATCAGCTTCAGTCATGGGGTCACTGGAACTTGAGTTTTGGTCGGTTCAGCCCAGCTCAGAGCTTTGTGCAAAGGTTTGTACTGTTACCATCTCAGAGGAAAGGAAAGTAGATTTAAAACATATTGGATCTTTAAGGAAGAAGTTAACTGGACCAGCTGTTTAACCTGCTTGGGGCCTGGTAGGGGAGGAATCCTTCTTAAACCGGTCTTAAACCAGGCCAATAAAAGCTTCAATAAGATCTGCAGCGGAGAAGCAAAAGCAGGAAACGGTCCAGAAGACATCTGAGAAACAGCTGAGCTTAAAGACAATGGATGAGCTGGAGGAGGACGTGAAGACCAGCAGAACCAGAGATGATGATGCACCTTTATCTGTTGCTGCTCTAACATGTCTGCCCAACCAAAGGTCAACTTAAACATGTCATGACCCACTGAAATCCACCCCTTCCTCCATCCAGAGGTCGGAGATCGGTCCCGTCAGGCCGTCTTCTTACACACGTGGATGAAGTAGCACGGCGTCTGGGCCTGACCTGGACGATACGCCTTGAAGTCTCCATAGACGGTGTGCTCCATTTTGCCTTTGAATGCGTCCTTCAGGAGCTCAGAGAAGTTCTCCAGGCGGTGGGGATAGTAGGACAGCCGGAACTTACTGCGGAGAAACAACACGAGAAGACGTCAAGTGGGGGGGGGGGTTCTGAAGCTGAAAACCCGCCTAGCTGGTTTTTATAGTCCAGGCTGCAGCTCCGAACTTTGCTAAGATTCAACATGATGAAGTACCTTGAGGTACCTTCAAGGTACAATCAAAGTACCTTGAGGTACAATCAAAGTACCTTGAGGTACAATCGAGGTAGAATCAAAGTACCTTGAGGTAGAATCAAAGTACCTTGAGGTACCTTCGAGGAACAATCAAAGTACCTTGAGGTACAATCAAAGTACCTTGAGGTACAATCNGTACAATCAAAGTACCTTGAGGTACAATCAAAGTACCTTGAGGTACAATCGAGGTACAATCAAAGTACCTTGAGGTAGAATCAAAGTACCTTGAGGTACCTTCGAGGTACAATCAAAGTACCTTAAGGGAACCTTCAAGGTACAAAGTACCTTGAGGTACAATCGAGGTACAATCAAAGTACCTTGAGGTACCTTCTGCCAAATACTCTGCCCAATAATCTGCTGATATTTAGAAGAAACTGTTAATCGGCTAAGCTCCTCTTCCTTGCTTTTATTTTTATTTTAATGTCTAATTTATGTAAAGCACTTTGGATTGTAGATATACTGAATTAAGCTTAACAATTAAACGTCCTTCTCTTCTCGGTACCTCATAGTGCCCTCTAGATCATAGCAGTGATCGCGGGCATATGTGGTTATTTGAGCGCTCTTGAACGCAGCACCCCCCCGCCAATCGGTCTGCTCTTGCAGAAAAGTCACGCCCCCTCGCTCAGGTTGGGGTCAGTCTATTCTGATGGATCTGATTGGCCGATTTTCAGCTTCTATCTGGTGGCTCTTTGAACCAAATAAAATCCTCTTTGCCTTTTAAGTAGAGTTGTGACGCTCTGACAGCGTTTATTGACATTAATGTCCTCTGACCCAGATTATGCTTTTCAATGCTGGGGGTGTCAGGGAAATTTACTTTGTTCTAAATTTTACACAGGGATTAAATTTCACATAAAATACATCACAGATACTAGATCTTCATATTAGTTTATGCAGTATACTACTATCCTTTTTAAAGCGATTTATGATGCATACTAGCATGGGGAATGCTGTGGCTTGTCCTCCGTTAATTTTAAACCACAGACTTAGATGTCTGGGGATTAAAGCTCTGCTCCAGATTACCTTCAGATCTACATCCTTCAACAAAGCCTGAGTTAATTTACCAGCAGGATCCTGGGCAGAATGAATAACCTGAAGAGCAAAGCTGATCTAAATTTTTAATAACTTTTAGATGAAGAATTCGTTTTCTATAGAAAGTATATATCATGCATTTTATTTTTGTTTTATTATGTGAACTGGATACATTAACCATGGCCCTCTCTGGACCCCGTGGCACCCTCCTGGGACCCCGTGGTGCCCTCCTGGGACCCAGTGGCGCCCTCTCGGTACGGAGAATGTCTCATCATTTTGCTTTTCATAAACTGACCATTATTGACTTAAAACTTTTTTATCTGACCATCAAACTATTTCCTGCTGCTGTTCTGACAGATAAAAGACATTTGATGGAATTATTGTCAAATCCAGATAAAGAATAAAAACACAGTTTTCAGGATTAAAAGGATAACCAGGAAGCAGAGGAGGCCCACCTGACATCAGGAAGGTGACGCAGGGCGGCCTGAGGCACCTGGATGGTGTAGTCCAGAGTGATCATGTGGGGCTTACTGTCGACCCACAGAACCGAGGTACTGATGTCTTGGGTCAGGTCGCTCTGTGGAACAACAACAGATGGAGTCAGAACAGAGTCTGAACATGTGGGTCTGGTTCTTGTTCAGCTGGTTAGAATTAGAGGCGGTTCTGTCTAACCCTGAACAGACGTTGCTTCTTTATTTGGGTCGGTTGAGAGAAGAACTTTAATTCCTGCTGGGTCTTTAAATTCCACTTTCTAACTGAAACTAGAGCGTAACAAAGGGTTTGGGTTGTCAGGCAGTTGGGTTATTGCCAACATTGGAGTTTCTGGGCTTTCGATCACATCCTGGTTCTGTAGAACCGCCTCCCACTGAGCTGCTTTACACTAAACGATGCATCATTCTGATGATTCCACAGAAATTAAACAACTAGCTTTAAATGAACGACTGGACATCAGCTGAGTTTAAAAGTGTTTCCTAAATACTCAGTTCTTCATCCTTTTCAGGGAAAAAAAACATTCTTGCAATTTAATGAGTCTTTAATGTTCTTCTCTAGGTGGCAAAACTCAATTATTGAAATGATCCTCAATCTATGATCAGAATCTAAAACCGGCCCCGGCTGCTGCAGACGGGCTAATGTTCAATTCAATTCTATTAAGTTTATTTCTACGGTTCAACCAGATCTTTCAGTCAGATTGATTCAAAGTTTTCTATCTAAGGAAAAC